CAGGCTGCTGCCAGTGTTAGTATAACTTTCAGTTTAGGCCGACTGCATTTAGGATCGGGTCTAATTTTCATGTTCTTTTTGGACAACATTCTCTTTGACAATAATTTATGCACTTTGTGTTAAGGGAGGTTTTCCATAGACGAGTGAAGACCTCCACATTCCTGTTCCTCAGGGGATAAAACCTTTTGATTTGAATGACTCCATAATCTTTCATCTAGCACAGACCTCTGGACAAACTTCACACTTTCACTCCTACTCCTGGTAAAGCTCTAGGGGACGCTAATAGGGCTTTGAACTGTTGGTCAGGTTATTCTGGTCACAGTGAAGCAGGAAAGAGAATACACTATAGATTTTCAATTTTCCCTCTCGTTTACACTCGGTCTGCGTGTGTGAATGCGCATGTGTGTCTCTCCCAGTGTTGTCATCTTAACGAGCTCATTAACTCGTTAACTTCGTTAAGGGCCAGTTAATTGTTTGTCCATTAGCCATTAGCAAGGCTCAGTGGAGAGCTAACGAGGGACTGCTGCGGTCACACACACACACGCACGCACACACACACACACAAAGAGAGGCGACATTCATCACTGTTTAAGTGCACACTCATAGAGACACAGCCATTTATTACTGCTAAACTAGCTTTACACACACACACACACACACACACACACACACAAAGACGTTTGTTCCTCTACCGCTGTGGAGACATCTCATTAACATAATGCATTCCCTAGCCCCTAACCTAAACCATCACAACTACATTTCTAACCTTAACCCTATCCCTACCCCTAATTGTAACCTAAACCATAAAGCCATGTCTTAACAATGAAAAAGTGTCTCTACCTGTGGGAATTTGACATGAGTCCCCATCGGTTAGTGCGCATTCAGGTTATAGTCCCCACTGGGATATAAAAACATGACACACACACACACACACTCCTGCTGCTAATCAGATGGATAGCTAAAGGTTCAGCCAATCAAACTGTAGGCAGCAGAAGAATCGTCATTATTCAAATTAATTCAGATGAAAGATCTCTCAAACTGTGATCAATTAAATTATTGGCAAATCAAAAATGCTGAAATAACGTCTTTGTATTTTGTCACTTGTTCTGTAGAAAGAGCAAGACTAGCAGTTTTCTCCTCCTGTGCTGATCTCAATCTTTTTATCCGACCCCGGGGAGTGAGAGTTATCACAACTTTGATCGGATTTTCGTAGTATTGGCCATCATTTACTAATAATATTAACATTGTGCTTGTCCTATTAATTGCTGAGATTTGGGAACATTGCCTCATCGCTAAAAAGAAATCAGACAGGGCAAGAAGCACAAGCAGTCAAACAATGGAAAAAAATGCCACACCTGTCTAATTTTCTCGATTGATTCATTACAATAACTGCCCAAAGGAATAAAAACACTACAATGTATATGTCTTTAATTCCCCAATATTTATTTGTATGTCTCTAAAAATACAATACATATTGTATACCAAACATAAAATAAATAATTTTGAGATTAAAAAATATAAAGAAAAATCCAGCTTCAGATTTACTCCTCTTGTATTTTCTACCCTCTTCCTTCCTCTCTACATTCATTTAACCGTGGAATCTCCATTATTGCACCTCAATGTGTTTAAACTCTCAGTGTATAATGTCTAGTATATTATAATATCTTATTCCACCTTAAATCAATTAATGCTGATTCATCATATTGGCTACCGGAGAAAACTAAAGTGAAATTATTACCCCAAATAAACATCCATCACAGTTTACAAACCAATCTTTTACAAATGTACAAAACCAACCAACTACAAATATAAGACACAAGTTCTAATAAAAAAAAATATTCCTGTGTGTTTGAATTTGTCAGGGATATCCTGATAGTTGCCAAAGATACTTGATATTTGTCAAGTTGGATGTTACATCATGTAATGTATACTGTTTAGTGGACACCAGACCCAATACTGCAAGCAAGAGGGGATTACTGTTCCTTTAAATCAGGTCTTCCCAAACCTCTCCTGTTGTACCCCTTGTCCTGCATGTTTTAGATTGCTCACCACTCCAACACAGCTGATTCAAATGATCAACTCGTTCTTAACTCCTGAAGCTGCTTTATAACAAGGAGATCATTTAAATCAGTGTTCATAGGTCGACTGTCAAGTGTCCTACAACAACATGTAAGATTGTTGGCGAGTACCAGTCCAGCGACCATAATGGCGTTACTAAGTCATGTGACCTAAGTTGCATCACTTTTAACACATGGTAAACGATGTGAAGCAATGGTAGCTTGGTTAGCTTTAAGAAACAAAACTAATTGATTAGGTTTAGGAAAAGATTGTGGTTTGCGTTCAAATGGTTAAAATTACTACAACATGTCACAAGTTATCTACAAAATGTTATTTAACTTAATGAGTTATTTAACTTAAAACATGTCACCTTTGATTTTCTTCCTGAAAGTCCTGAGTTTACTTAACACATCCATCCACTCCACCACCCTCCTTACTCTCCTTAAGTTAATCATTGCTCTTTATACTACGTCGCCTGACTTCTGCCAAACAAACATCGTAAATATGGGTATCAAATAATCGACCTATATGGCTGCTATCTGGTGAGGATGGGCAGAACATGCAGGACAATAGCTACTCCAGGAGAGGTTTGGGAAACGCTGCTTTAAATAATCCAGAAGACGCCAGTGTTTCTGTGTTCCTTGAAAGGTTATTTCACTCAAATTTACCACAACAGTTTCTCCCGTACATCAGAAACAAAAGCACTACGTTTTGTCTTCTAATGTGGCATAGTGATGTTCAATGTTACCATGGCGACAGATGTAGGCTGAAGCAAGAACACTTCTGCTGTCAGGGTGAATACTAATGGATCTGTAGTTGTGTTTCTTTTTCTGTACAGATGGAAACCTCCCGCTGAGCTCTTAACTCATCAACACACACACACACGAACAGAGGATGTCTCTAGCTGTTGCTCATTCAACATGACAGTAGACAGATGGCTGAGAGAGAGAGGTACCGAAAAAAAGAAAGAGAGGAGGGGGTAGATTGAGTTATAAGGTTGGTGTCAGAGTAGATTTTGGTTACAGCGTTCAAAAAGCTTCAGGCTGAAAACATCACTATGATAAATGACACACTCCTCTACCTCTCTCTCTCTCTCTCTCTCACTCTCTCTCTTCGTGGCTGCAGCCTCACTGTTCACTCATTCATCTGAGTTTCTGTCTGGCCCAGGTTGTTTTTCAATTACTTTTCACATTGTTCTTATGTTGGTAGTCTACTCAGAATGCAAAAACAAGGATGGTCATCTCACAGAAAAAATGACCAATCTACAGCCACAGTGTAATTCCAGGCAGCTCTGGGAACACTGCCTTGCTTAAAGGGAAATTCTGGTATTTGTCAGCGTGGTCTTATTCACATAGTTCACTTGCACATACATACATACTGTCATTTGTAAGTATGTATGTATGTGCAAGGTGAGTATGTATGCGCAAGATGAATATGTATATATGTATATATGCGCAAGGTTAAGTATGTATATATGCGCAAACTGAGTTTGTATATGTGCGATTTCAGTATGTATGTATGTATGTGTGAGTTAAGAGTATGAATACATACCTTGCACATATAAACATACTAACCTTATGCATACATAAATACTCACCTCGCGCATACATACTTACAAATACATGATATGTATGTATGTGCAAGCAAGCATGTATGTATGTATGTGCGATCTAAGTGTTCAATTTTGGCCTAGGCGGCTTCTCATACATACCAATGGCACCCAGTGCTTCTTTCTTTTGTGAATGAAACAGTATACAAGTTGTAGTTTTTTCAGCCCTGTAAACTCCACCTCAATTGTACTACCCCTGAAGCAGGCAGCCAGAGCTATGTTACAGAATCCAAACTTAGTTCCTCCCAGTGAAATGCAGGTAAAGTTAAGAATTTATTATTATTTATATATTTATTTTAGGTTCATGGTCCAGGGACCAGTGCAGGAGTCACTGAAGGAAAGCTCCAGGGAAACACCCTATCTGTGTAGTTTTCATCAACTTCCACTAATCAGAGTCAAAAACGCATTGGTTTCAGTTAAACTGAAGTTTACCCGAAATCTGCAGGAGGCTCACGCTCCTTGCTCAATGCTGTTCTTGCTGGGGTCTGCATTTTCTAAATCTCTAAACTGAACATGTTGAATAAATAAATAATCACAATGGACATAAATATGAGAACAACACACAGGTTGACGACTACCTTGGCGGTTGTAATAACAATAGCAGATTTGCTAAACATGCACATCTATTGGTGGGACCTGAACAAAATAATGCAAAGGAGAATGTGCAAACAGAAGCTCAGGAAAACCCTCGGCTGCAAGACAAACTATGTTAATCCTTGAGCCACCGAGCTGCGCTTATCTGGTGGTTGTGGATGGTGGAGGAATCAACCTCTGGCAAAGCTTCATTCCAACGCCTTGTGTGTGTGAATGGAAATTTTTGTATGAAAATCCATAGGTCTTAGCTGAACTCATATAAAGCTCTGTATAGACAGCTGACTCTGTCAAACTAGAGCCAGCAGCACAAAAGCACCTCCTTTATTTTGTTTGCTAAACAGATGATGACAACTCTGAAATATATCTGTCCAACAAACATTCACTCCATCAAAACAGACATATCTGAGGGAGGCAGACACATTACCAACCCTGCCCAACAAAGAGACACTCCTTATTGCGAAGCAATTAAAAACAAACAGAAACAGGCAGAAACAATGGATCAGACTGGCTACATTCTCCCTCTGTGTGTGCAGACTTCTTACAGGCAGAGTGACAGATGAGCCTCTCAGAAAGAGAGAGAGAGAACAGGAAAGAGAGATCCCTGTCCACCACTTTATTCTGTTATAAGGAACTGTCCGTTTCATTGTGTGTATGTGTGAAAAGCCAATAACAATTCTTTGAAAAGAGGATTGTAAATTAGACTAAACCAACATTTCATTCTGGTTAAAAGAAGACTCACCTGGCCAGGTTGAAGGCATCATCAATAAGTCCCGCCCTGTTTCCAACGGAGATGATCTGAGAGACAAAGGAAAAGAGTGAGACAGACTACAGAGACAGAGACTACCATACAAACAGACAGACAGGAAGTCAGAAATACAGTCAGTAACAGACAGAGGCATACTTGAGGATTGGTGTGGAGCTGTTGAATCAGCAGTTTCCAGTTCTGAAGGTCATAGTTCACACGAAAGTAGCCTGTCTGGTTGATGTTGCCTAGCAACCAGGTTTTGTCATCCATCTGACCAGCCCTGTGGGTTTCTGAGACAAAATACAACAGGCAAGAGAGTCATCAGGCTCTCCCTGATAAAAAAAACAGCAGTGGTTCAAACGAAAAGGTAAACAACAAAACACCAGGATATATTTGTTGAAGGTCAACAGATATGCAGATGACACCACACTGTCCTGTTGGCGTCCTTGCAGTATTAAAAAAAATTGAATGGAATTTTGTCATTACTTTCTTAATGTGTTGTATAATCTTTTGAACCTGGAAGTTGAGGGATCAGTCTTAAGTGTAATCAAATAGTTTATACTTAAGTTACTGTATGTGGAGAAAGACAGTTTGATGTGATAGGACAGGAAAAGGGCAGGATTGTTTGTGATGACTATTGGTTTTACTTTTTAGATACCCATTACGTCTCATTCATGTCATGTGGGAGTTACCAACTTGTAAATGCCCTTAATGTCAACAACCAAGTCAGAACTGGGTAACTGGATTTCTCTGAAAGTTCATATATATTGAACTTGCCTTGTTTGTCTACCTTATTCAAAATTTAACAGATACTGTGATGTGTAGTCTTAGAACAAAGTATTGTTTGTCGTACTCCACATGACCAACTCTGCAGTGAGATGACCAATAACTTAAAATTAATAATATGTAATTTGTAAACAAAACAGTAAAGCTGCATACTATGATGCATTTATTTCAACTTGATAAAAACACTCAACTGACTGGCATTTTTACTAAGTTGGACAAATTGGATTGAAGCAGAGAATGTTCACAGTAAAACAACTAAATATACACTGCAAGATATGCACCGCCATCATGCTGAAAATCAAAGTTTGTGTTGATTATAGTGGCATCACAGCCTCTCAAAGAGAAACAAGAAAGGTTGTAACATTAGGTTGTATGCTTAAGTAGAACAGCTTGTGGGATCTTTCAGACTTTGTATAACAGCCAGCTGAGGAAAACAAGGAAAATAGCTGCTGACCCAGGTCTGGCCCACTTCCTCAGGTTCCTGCTTGATATTAAACTGTCTTGAAGTCTTGAACTTCGAGACTACCTCCCTCCACAGTGCACTTTGCAAGTAGGTGAAATTGTACCAGAACCCAAACTCTGTCAACAGCTGTTGCCCATTTACAGTTCTGTTCTCCATAAACCAAAGCAGAACCAGCTTTATTTCACCAAAACATAAGCAGAATGAGTTTTAAGTTCCATAAACAGAACTATAATTGTCTTTATATTCTATAAAAATAATCAGAGTTTTATGCTCCAAGTACAGAGGCAGAATGAGCATTCTGAGAAAGCTCTTTCCTCCAAAAAAGAGAATTATATTGAAGGAAAAAAAGATAAAACGTAGAATGAGCTTTACTGTCCATAAACAGATCCAAAGGCTTGATGAACAGAGTGGGGCCTTTCATCAAAGGAATATATACCTGTGAGTTTTAATTTTTTAGTCCATTAAATACAAATCACATATCTTGACACAATGAGATAATTAATTTGTGATCATAAGACAGTTTTCTTTGTTAACATAAGAAAATAATCCCAAGATAACGGCTTGTTACCTCAAGTGAAACAAGATAATTAAGTCATGATGTTAAAATGAACCTTTATGGAGATTTTCAATTAATTATATCAAATCTCAGAGTACTACACTGCAGTAATATCTAGTTTTAGTACTTAAAGCATCCTGGCAGTACTGTACCTGTCTTGTTGTTGATCCAGATGAGACTCTCTGAACAAACCATGGATGCATTTCCCACAGCGACCGTCAATGGCACCTGCCACTGTAAACTACAGAGAGAGAGAGTGATGTCAGTAATGGCTGGTGGAATTGGATCGAGTTTTATTGCCTCAGTTATCAGATAGAGAGACATTAGAGAAAGAGAGTGATGGTCAGCGATGATCATTCAGCATCAGTCAGCTGGAAATGGAGTGAGTGACACTGACTGCGTTATATATATATAGAGAGAGAGGGAGAGGCAGAGAAGTGAGAGTGTAATAGCTGCAGCCGGCAGCCAACATCAGTCAAGTGGAAGTGGCTGAGGGTCATTGTCTTTTTCAGAGGGGAGGGAGTTTAAATTTGCTGTCCGGTGAAAAGTGCATATGATGGTTAGTTTGGTGATTTTTACATTTTCAGATCAGTTGAAATATACATAAAGGCTCCTTTACTGCTTGATTGAATTCCCCAACCTATCAGACTCATAAACGCTTTTAAAAACCAGTTGATTATCTTAAAATTGCATCACCGCTGGGCTAATACACGGCTGTTTTTCTTTTCTCTTCATCAAGGAGATAAGTGGTTTTTAATAACAGCAAGACAGACAGAATGATGTGGGAGTAACTCAGCTCTGCAGAATACAGACAAAAACTTCCACACAAACAGCAACTGGACCTGGGCAAAAATAGACCCAAAGAAAATGAAAGTGTGTTGTAGTGCCAATGTAATTGATGTGTTATAGCCCAAATGTTGAATAATAAAGGCTGAGGTCTCATTTTAGTTGAATCAGAGAAAGTGCATAATCAAATTAACATTTAATTTTGAGTTGTAAATCAGCCACAAATACTTTTTCTGATGCAAATGTTGCCACCGTTCCTTGTTAACCTTTGTGTTTTCCTTTCCCTTTCAAGATTTAACTATAATTATTATTTTTTAATTTAGCCATTTCTGAATTCTGAATTCTGAATTAAAACTATAATAATAACTATGACTATAATAATAACAACTATGACACACTAGGGCTGCTAGGGCTGCAGCTGATGATCACTTTTATTATTGATGAATCTGTCGATTCTTTTCTTATTGATTAGTTGTGAGGTCTAGAAAATTGTGAAAAATGGCGATAGTGTTTCCCAAAGCCCAAGGTGATGTCCACAAATGCCTAGAGAAGTAAAGAAAACAGAAAATATTCATATTTGAGAAGCTGAAATAGAAAAAAGGAATTAATCAATTATCAAAATAATTGACAATTAATTGAAAAGTTGAAATCTAATTGATTAATTGACTAATTCATGTAGCTCTACAACAAACTCAAGTTTTACCTCAAAACTGTCACAAATGTCAGTAGTACAAAACGATGTGACATTCAAAACTGCAAAGGATTCAACTATTATTGAAAATCAGTAACAAATGGTGACAAGTAAGTTTAAAATGAGTTAGAGTAGTAAATAACCCAATAGTAATAGTAGTAAAAAAATAACCATAACACTCAGTCCAACAGCCCCTTGTCTTGGATAGTTTTCCAACTGGGTACTGGGTAGAGTTCAAGTCAAGTCAATTTCATTTTTCATTTTCATTGTACTTTCCACAATAGACAACAAATATACATGACAACAGTAGAAAAAATAAAAAATATAACAAATGTCAATACTTAACTCTGTTTGAAGGCCAATGAATAAAGAAAGGTCTTTAGCAAGGATTTGAAAGTGTCAGGAGTTTTGGCATTTCTTATTTGAACAGGTAAAGTATTCCAAAGATTAGGAGCAGCTACTGAGAAGGCTCGGTCACCTTTAGTTTTTAACCTGAATCTGGGGACATCGAGGAGCATCTGATTGGATGACCTCAGTGCTTTGACCAGAGTGTGTACATGTAAAAGTTCTGATAAATAAGAAGGTGCCAACCCATTTAAAATTTTAAAAGCATACAACATCCTCTGTCCCTCACTAACCCAGTTAAAGTTCACCCAGTATTGAGTTGATGGTGATGCATATATTGTATTGTATATGCATGACACATTTACTACCATTGGTACTTTGGTATCCTTGTGGTTCTTACAGTATGACTGTTTTTGTACCCTCACCTCCATAAATCCCTCTGCATATTTTACCAGAGGCTCCTTATTTCAGTGTACAGAACATGACTAAATAAGGATATGAGGATTTATATATAGAACTGCATGAAAGGCCTGTATCAAGGATAAAAGGAAAGGATATAAAGACCAGGATACCAAAATTATAAAAGTGTAATTTGTACCCTAGTGCAGACTGTATTATAGACTATACTGTACTGCTTCCCAGCTGTGACAGTAAATTTTAGGTTGGACTCAAGTGGGTTCAGTGCTCTTTGTCTTTATAAGCATCACAATTAAAAGAAAACCATACAATGGTATTTTGACCTGACTTGGGTAATTCAAACACAGGGTTTCTTAGTGTGTAGCGATATAGGAGTCCTAATTGGATTCAGCAGGAGAACAATGTCCGAATATGTCAGTAATGTCCGCATTACCGCAAAATCTTTAACCTGTAGGTGTTATTAGAGCGCACAGTTAAATGAAGCTTGAATATAACTGGCTGTAAAGCCTCTGTGCTTCAGACAGCCTCACCGATCTATGACAACTCTGTTCTTTGTACTGAAGGGATGTTACTGCTAAAACAACCATCTTTTTGTCATTCCCAGAGTATCTGTTATGATACAACATACAATGTTAGAGTTGGATATTATTGTGTGGATTCTTAACTTAGTGTGGCCAAAGCAGCACACCAGCTGCAGATGCACTCTCAGCATCTAATATTCATCTGTTCAGCCACAGTAATGCCAATTTAGGATTGCAATGTGAACTAAACACGGTGCTGAACTGACCTGCATAGGAACAATAACAAAGACAGCACGATGTCGTATAGAAGTAAAAATGGAGGCCACTGAAGTCAGCGTTTACGGTTTAATTTTTAAGTTGGAAGCCAGCGAATTCAAGACCAAATGGTAACAAGAATGAGAAGAAAGAGAGCCACAATTTTTGTTATGGCTTTTTGTGGAACAATGGCTGCTACTTCTGTACATAGCCGTGTGTGGATGCCGAGTTGCAGCCAAGACTGGTGGGATCGTGACGTGAATGGCTTCACACAAACAGATTTCATCCAATATTTAAGGATGTCAAGGGGCTGCTTTACTACTTTGAGTTCACTATAGAGGGTATAATAATTCTCACTATACATTCAGACTATATAGTACCTGATTTCGGACACAGCCACTGACTCCTGCCAGCGCAGAATTGTGACGAACGTCGATCTATAGTGACATAAACGTTGCACGAATTCTGATATGAATGAAAAGAATTAGACCTGTATGTGATTTAGGACCACATATGAAAGTGGCCCAAATGTGAATTGAAAAGATCAGATTCCATGTGATTTGTGCTGTTCACACTGAAAGAGAACTGAGTTACATACGTATGAACATAAAAATCTGCAACCTAAAAAAGTAGATTTACTTGAGTATGCAACTTTACACTGGTACTTCACAACATTTAAGAAGGAAATAATACATTTTTTCTCCACTATTTTATTTGACAGCTATTTGATAGTGGCTGGTTACTTTCATATTTTAAATACAAAACATACTGAATAATTTATTTAGTTAATAGTTGGACTTAGCTAACAACAATACAATTCTGATTACACATTAATGCATCAGTCAAACATATCTAATATCTAATCAAATATATATATATATAAAAATACATAATAAGTTTGCCAGTGTTGTGCGCATAATGAGTACTTTTTATTTGATAATAAAGTATATTTTGCTGAAAATATTATTGTAAATACAATTTTAAAGGAGTATTTTTACATTGTGTTTTTGTTTGCTTTTTGTTAGTGACCAGTGGATGCTGTTAAATCACACACGCACAGCCTCATTTTAATCAGAATAGGTACTGTATGTGAGTACTAATGACACTAATAAAAGAGTCTTTAAAGTGAGACCTTCTCCTTTATTCCATTAAAAACCCTCAGATTAATTTTGATCAAATTCGCGTTTTAATTAAAGTGGATTTTAATTACAGACTGCAAACAATGAGCAATTAATTCGTCCATTAAGGAAAAAGTGTGTGCGTGTGATTGTTTGTGTGTGTGTATGGTAGGGGTCACTGTAACACAATAAGCCAGAAAAAGACCCATTAACCAATCCCAGCAGCCATCTGTCGCCGCGGGCAACCATGGATCAATACCGCTGCCTAGCAACCAAGTATTTAATCTGATATTTATATCAACCTGATTGACAAGAGTGGAACTTAATTACACACACACAGTAAGAGCAGCATGGACAGCAGAATGTGTTTATTAATATTTGATCGAAATGTAGCCTGTTATTTTAGACGACTGTGTGTGTGTGTGTGTGTGTGTGTGTGTGTGTGTGTGTGTGTGTGTGTGTGTGCTCAGACTTTATGGTTTATTCATCAAAGACAAAAGCCAGCTGAAAACACAAACACACACTCACACATTGTAGGTAGAGAGAAAGGCAGCTTGAGTGTGTTGATACATCAACAAGGAAAACCTCTCTGTCCCTCTTCTTCCCCCATTAAAAAGCACTTTGATGCCATTTATAATTTTTCTTTCAAGTGTCTCAAAATCAAAACTTAAGGTTAAAAAATATACTAATCAGTACCTCTAATTCAAGGATATTAGCCTGATAATGGCCCGACCTGACAGGCATAAAAATTCGATAGTTGCTGGTTTTATCCCGTTTACTGAGTGTTAGTGGAATGCAGCATCTGAATATTTTGGCCTTCTCGTGCCTACTTTGACAACTTGTTGAACAATTGACACAGTCTGTTTTTCATTACTTTCAACATAGAGATGCCAAAGACAATTATGTTGTTGTGCCTGTCCCTCACACTTCATTGTACTTAATAGTTAACTCACTGCACTGTACAGAATGCAAGCCATGAAAGAAGGCATGGTCAGGGTCCAGTGCATAGTAGGCTATGCCATTTCTCTTGGCCGGGTCTGTCAGTCAAAAGTCTTTTTTTAATAGGGACAAGTATATAGCATGGACGCATGCTACAATGTCCCTAGAT